ACCGCCTGTCCTTTCTCGGCCGACCAGGTGTACGCGCCCGAGCGGGACGAGCACGTGAAGAGCGCGGCGGCGGCGCTGGGGCCCGCGGCCTCCTACCTCTGCACCCCCGAGGCCCACGGTAACGCCCCAACCCCCTGAGGAGGTCGCTGGCCGGTGTGATGGGGGACGGCAGGCAGCGGGCCGGGGCCAGGGGAGGTCTGCGAGGAAGGACGAGAGGAGAAAGAGGCAGAGAAAGCGACAGAAAGGGAGAGGGAAAGAGAGACAATGAAAGAAAAAAGAAGCTAGGCGAGAACTTCCAACAACTTTCATCGTTTGGTTCCCTAACAGCAGACCTCCCTCTCCAGCACATAAACACACGCTCACGTACACCTGCTACACTGGGTTAAAACCTTTTAAAGATCACGCCTGGCACCCCTTTCAAGTGCTTTCATTTATAAAGCAAGTGTTTGGGGGCTTCAAAGTACCCCCGTGGTCAGGCGAGGGCCAGCGAACGGTGGGGGCGCTTAGCTGCGCACTTGGGTAAACCTGCAGCGCAGTGGGGGCTGCGGCCAGCGCGGTGGGGGGTGGGGGGAGCCCTGCGCGTGCCGAGGGACCCAGGGCTCCCAGATGAGAGGCTGAGGCCGAGGGAATCCGGGCGGGCCAAGCCCGGGAGCGTGTTTCCCCCGCCACCACCACGCCGCGGGCACGGCCGGAGCCGCGGTTTCGGCGGGAGCGGCGCAGGCAGACCGGCGGCCACGCGCGCTCGCGGTGCCCCAATATCTGCGTGCGATGTAGGTCGCTCGTCCCTGGTGGGCTCGGCTGCTCCTATTGCTCTTTTCCGAGGGGCTGGGGAGGGGGCGTGGAGCCCGAGAAAAGCAGACCGCGCGCGGGGGAGGGAAGGCCCGGCCCAAAGCCTGAGGGTGCGAGCCCAGGCGCGCAGCAGGGAACAGCCGCGGCCGCGAAGCTTTTAATTAGGGCTCGGGCTCCCGGACTGCCGCAGCTCCGGCCGTATCAGGGTCACGGTTTCTTTGCCTCTCCTTGAAACTCGGTTTATTGCCTTTAAGAGCCAGATAAGGAAGACAATCACTCGCCCGCCGACGATTTGGAAACGAGGAAATCCTATCCAGACCAAAGGAGTATCTCCCAGCCAAGTCCTGCAAATACAGACCGAGGTGAGCCCTGGGATCCGCTCGCACCGCCCCCCGTCGGGAGGTGGGGCCCCCGTCGCCGAGATTCCCACCGGCTGTGGCTTGCGAAGGCTTTCCAGCAAGGGTGGCGGCTGTGGGTCCCCTTCTGCGGCTGGCAGATAAATATTTAAACAGCGCGGGCAAGGTGTAGGCCAAGTTTTCTGAGTTGCTTACCTCCCTGGTGGGTTTGGAGCTATTCAGGGTAAGAGAAGGGGACATTTTAGAAGAAAATGAGGGACACCATCACCCACCTAAGACAGGTCAAAGGGCACTTCCTGCTCTAAGACAGCCTATCTCCCCTGGGTCTCCTGCAATGGGTCACTCTCTAAAATGATGGCTCCGAAGGTGGGGAGAACCAGATGCCTGCAAATGTCTCCTCTAATGGCAGAGGGTCTGGAGTAGGTCCCTGACTTAGCCCAGTTCCCAGGAAGCTCACCCATCCCCTCCCCTCCCTTCCCCTCCCAAGGCCTCTCCCAGTACAGAACCTCTCCTACCTGCCCTTGTGTCACAGGTGAAGATGGGCTCACCCTGGATGTCACAGCAACTCAGCTAGTGGAGAAAGATATCGAGAACCTGGCCAGAGGTGAGGTGAAATCTGTGAAATGGGGCTACACTGTGCTTAGGGGAGATGGGCCCTTCTTGTAAAGGGGTGTTTGTTACTCCTGTCAGAGTGTGTGTGAGAAGACAGGGCTCTTGGGGAATCAGTTTGCACTAAGTGGAGAGGATAGGGCCCCTGGACACATCGTCCTGGCACAGAGGTGTGTATGTGAGTAGGGGGTGGCTAGAGGGAACCAAACCCCCAGAGGTTCATTGGAACTTTAAGTTCCTAAGGCCGGGTCTGTCTAAATAGCCCAGTGAGAAGGAGAAATGAGTAAATATCCTAGGACCTTGATGCATGTGGACAATCAGACAGGACAATCTGGGTCTCCGAAACTCACTGGAAAACATGACTTTCTGAATAGCAAGATTCCTAGGAGGCATTTACTTTAGGACTGTCCCAGAGGTGAACTTTTCTCTCGGCATTAATGCATAACCACTCACCCCAACCCAAATGAGGTGGGCATGCAGCTTGTTTGCAGAATAGGGTCCTGGGGTTGTTGCTCAGCCTGCAAGGGGGAGAGTGTGACTTCAGGCATAGAAGAAGGGAGCCTCTAACCCCACTTTGCTCCTCTAGCTCCCATTTTTTTCTGCTTTTGAGCACCTGCTACGAAAGGATAGAGAACCTCCCCATGGGGAAGACCCAGATACCAGTAGCCCCGTGCCACTTCTCGAGCTGGTTTCTGAGGGCACTAGCAGGGCTTTCCGTACCTACCTGCTCCCCTCTCCCCAAACCAACCCGGGGATGGGCTAGGAAATTGGTGTGGGAGAGAGGAAGGCATCGGTGGTCTTTCTCTCTGCCTAGTTGCAGATTTTCCAGGATATGCAATTATCTTCAAAATCATTGGTGCTTTATCTGAGTGTTCTTAGCATGGATTTGGGGTCAGGGACTCCTGAAATTGTAAACAAAGTGTTGTATGTCTTTTTCCAGGGCTGGGGACCAAGACTTTGACCAGATTCTCCCTTCTCTGTATTATTAAAGGGAGGGGTTAGGTCTGACTCTTGAAGGGGTAAATTGAGTCCTCCTGGGCTAGTCTCTAAGGGTAGGGAATTAGGAGTTGAAGCAGAAGCCACTCCGCTTAGCGCCTTGAGCCAGGACTGAGTAGTGGAAAATGCCTTCTACCATCCAGATTTGATTCTCCAGAGCAATTTATCTCCTAGCCCCTTTTCCTAACCCAAATCCTTTGGAAGCAAATGGGTAAACTGAGTGCTGAGGGCCTCTTTCTACTGGCCCCACCGCCCCCAACTCCCGTCTTGGGACTGTTGCCCAGGTCAGGACCTGCTGCCTCTGGGCCTCCTGAGCCCTGCACAGCCCTCTCCTTTACCTCCCACTCTTGCCCCCTCACAGACGAATTGCAAAAACTGCTCCTGGAGCAAATGGAGCTCCGCAAGAAGCTGGAGCGAGAATTTCAAAGTCTCAAAGGTACCCCCATCCCTACGCACCTCACCCCGCCCCACCTCGTGGCCAGAACCTTCTTCCCGCGCGCCCAGCCTGATTCCCGGACCCCGGCGCGAGCAGCTGCCCTGCGCCCCCGCGGAAGCCGCCGAGCCCTCCTCTCCTGGGGTTTCCCACTAGGCCGAAGACCGAGGGGGTGGGGTGCGGCTGGGGGAAACGGGGGCCCTGGGAGGGGGCTGTGCTTAACAGCTCTCACTTAATCAATTTGCACAGATAATTTTCAGGATCAAATGAAGAGGGAATTGGCTTATCGGGAAGAAATGGTGCAACAGCTGCAAATTGTCAGAGGTAAGACGGGAGTCAGGTGAGCGCGTGCACGGGCCGTAACTGCCTCTCGTCTGGCAGGAGCCGCAATGTTGGCTCAGTCATTTGGATTTAAATTGAAGGTAATTTAACAATTATTTTTTTTTATTTAATATCCTTTGTATACTCTGATTAGCCTCAGAATGGCAAGCGAGCCCAGCAAACGGCTTGCAGGCATCATTACATGGAGTGATTGAACTTCTTATCGCGGCAATTTCCATGGTTTCTAAATTAAAAATCGAGGCGTAAAATTACCTGGGAAGTAATGCCTAAGTTTGCTTTAATTTTGGTTAGATCCGTCTGCCTTTAAGCACCATCCCAGGCCATTTCCTCCCTCCGCCAGGCTGCAGTTTGGAGCGTTGAGGCCCCCTCCCTCTTTCTCCGACTTGTTTTTACCCAGGGCTGAGTGCTGGGAAGAGGGTGAGGCCGGGGCGTGACCCCGCAGGCCGGCGGACAGGTGGGCTCATTCCCTCCCCGGCCCCTCCCCATGTCTTCCAGACACTCTGTGTAACGAACTGGACCAAGAGCGAAAGGCGCGCTATGCCATCCAGCAGAAGTTAAAAGGTGCGGGAGCCGAGGAACAAAGATAGGAGGGGTGCCAGTCGCTGGCCGTGCGGGAGAATGAACGAATGAATGAATGAACGAACGAATGAATGGACGAATGAATGAATGAACGAATGAATGACGGGCCTAGGGAGAGGGGAGGCCAGGTCCACACGGATCAGAAGCAGAGAAGAGGAAACTAGGATTTGCTTTTACTGAGGAAATGATTTCAGAACGGATGGGATAGGCAGAAAGAGCCCCTTGGGCTCTGGGCTCTGGGCAATCTGCCCTCAGGTCCAAATCTTGCCTTGGGCAGATGGACCTCCCTCTTTCTGTGCCTCAGTTTCCTCTTCTGTGAAATGGGGCTACTGAACCAGAGCAGTGGTTTTGAGTCGCCAGGATCTCTCTTCTGTTCCCCTGTCTCCTTCCAATCCTCTCCCTCAGAACCCCTGAGCCAGAAGAGGGTGGGTGAGACCTGGGAGGGCAGAGGAGGGGACCCCGGCCAGGGAAGCCAGGCAGGCGAGGCACCCAACGTGGCCCGCCTGACTGTCTCTCCAGAAGCCCACGACGCCCTGCACCACTTCTCCTGCAAGATGCTGACTCCCCGCCACTGCACAGGCAACTGCTCCTTCAAGCCCCCGCTGTTGCCCTAGGGCCGCCCGCTGCGCCCACGCGCCCTCAAGCCATGCTGCTCTCCTGTAAATACCCGCGGCCCGGCGGCCGAGAGCGAGGAACAAGCCATTCGGACCCGACCAGTGTAAATACAGCCCCGCCCGGCGCCCGCGCCCAGGACCCGTCTCCGTTCCCAAGTGTAAATACCACTTCGCCCCCCGGTTGAACCCCAGGGCATTGGACCTCGTGGGGTCAACTGGACAGAGAGGGATAATAAAGGGAAGAGGGGGGCCTCTCTTCGCCCCAGGACAGCCTCGGACCCCCGTTGTGATGACAGTGTAGCAACTTCGCTGGCCCCGCGCTCCCCGCCCCGTCCACTTCTGAAACTTGTTCCTAATGACAAAGTGGCTATGTGCAATGGATGTCAGTGTTCTGTGAGTCTCTTGGTTCAGTACTGAGTTTCCTTTACTTACGCGGTCGGTTACTTTGCTTTCTTCTCCCGGACCGACTTCCTTCCCGTTCTGCAGGCCCTTTCGGGTTTTGCCTTGTTTTTTGTAACCTCCTGATGTAACAGCACTTTAAAAAAGGGCGACAACTGACTCACGAGATGGAGACCACCTTGAGCCTGTTTGGGGAGACCACCCTGTATCCGTGACTTTTGTTTTGTTTTTAATAAAATAAAATAAAAATCTGTCACTTTCTGAGGCTGTGGAAGTGAGAGCGGGGGGCCGGGGAGGGGGGCCGGAGGCAAGCGAAGGGCA